TCCTTGGGCAATTATTTTTTGTAAGCATTCAGAATGTTGCAAGTTGCTGTACAGAAGTAATATATAAATTTAAGAGGACTAATACATACAAACACACAGGAATGTGAATTGTTTCTTTCCCCCTGATAATTATGCTATTTAAGATTAAAGAACAAAAGAATCTAAAGAGGGGTTTTTTTTAAGTAAGAGATTAAATGTGAAGATGAACTAGAAATTGTTCAAAGTTCTACCTCCAAATGAACTTAATTCACAGTTCACCTGGCAATTATAGGAACTACTTTCAAATGTCATTTGGATACTTTTGAACTAATGCGGTGAACTGTGTTAAACTGAATTAGATCATTCCAAGTGCTGAGCTCAACCAGTGAGTTTCATAGCCAAGTTAGGATTTTAAAACCAGTTTTCCAGGCTCTAATTCCTACATGCACCCACAAAGGTCTTGCCTGGTACCCAGGGTCACCTCAGTAATTAAACTTGTAATTAAGCTTGAAAGAAGCATTCTGTTGTAGTCAATGGGATAGGTTGCGGAGTGTGCTTGGTTGCAGTGTGCATAGTGCTCACAACAGTGTCCCGCATTTGCAAATGTGCCCATGGACTCCAAAGTTTTGGCAACCTCTGGTCTGTTTTGCATGCTCCCAGGTGTACCTGGCGGGTCCAAGTAGAACTGGGAAAGCCAGCTTTCTGAAATCCTGGAAAGCGTGCTAGTCAGTCTGGACAATAGAGAGCTAGATGGATAAATTATGTGACTTGATATAAAGCTGTTCCTAACTCTATACACCATCCTGGCTCTGGCAGGCCCCATGGACATACGAAGTTGCCTTTTACTGAGGCTAACTTGTATAGTCTACTCTGGCTGGTGATGATGCTCTGAGGTTTTAGGCTGAGCCCTGCTACCCAAAAGACCAAGGACCAAACCTGCTTCCTTTTGCATGCAAAGCATGTCCTCAGCCAGTGAGCTATGGCTCTCTCTCTATGGCAAGTCAAGGAGTAATATGATTAAGGTTTTCAGATGTTTTCTGATATGTTCTAACAAAAATAAATGACTTAATTTTAAGCCCTGGAATAGCACAGGCAAGCTGCAAATGTCATACGCTTATTTGATTCATTCATCATATCCTGTAGTATGAGTGTAGTCATGTTTACGGGCTTTTTAATATTTTCCAGGCTATCTTTGGCATTCAGCTTTTCATAGACCTTGGAAATAATTATCCCCTAAGAAATAGAAGGGAGACGTTTGAATGTTATATCATAAAATTATGTCCGCGTCTGCAGCAAGCTAGTTTACATTTATTTCCTGCAAAGGAGGAAGTTTCACAATTGTGTATCTAAAGATTCACAAAGCAAGTTGAGACATTAAAAATCCTTTTCATTATCTCAGAAAATAAATCAGCAGGTGGCCCCAATCTCAAGTTGATGTAAACTATTGTGAGTTAGTGATTTTAAAATTAATAAATAACGTCAGAAGAATCTTGATCCTGTATCTGTTCTGCTGGCATGGCTTAGGGTTTGGCAGAGGTCCTCCTCCAATTGACTCTGCTGCATTCCACCACCCAGGGAATTCTGCCAACATGGAGACTTCCACTGTGCCCACCCAACAGAAACAAATGTTTCTATTGGCAGTGGGAATCATAAAACCTGAAACAGGGTCTTATTGGGTAGGATGGGGTTGGAGAAGGACCAGCCTACTGTTATGGTCCTGCCTCTTTGTTTATTTCAATCACGCACATACTTATGAGGGACTTGCTTCCAAGTCAACATGCATAAGAAGAATTATGTGTGCATGTGGAGACCACTGTTTAACCCTATGGGGCCCAGGTGCACTTCCATCTTATTTCACCTGCAGAGCCGTAGGAAGGTCAGGTGGTACCCAGAGTGGAAAATTTCTTGTCACCCCCCCCCACACACACACACTGATTTTTTTATTTTTTTATTTTTTTATTTTTTTTTTGCCTGCAAAAATGGTTTTACGTTATTTCATATTTTCTTACAAAGGAATGTGGATTTTGGGCCTCTGATAACAAGTAGGCGACTATGGACAGATACTTAAATCTACAGGATGGATTGTGTTTTGGCTTGTGTTATTTTATTTATATTTATTGTTTATTTAATAAAATGTATTTTTAAAAACCTGCAAAGTGGTTTACCAAAGCAAAAAAACAAAAAAAAACACCACAGCAGTAAAATCAAGAAAAATTGTCTGTGCAGGGGGTGGGGCGAAGGCAAGGCAAGGCCTAATCTAATCGGCCTGGTCTCATTTTCTTCACATAGGCCGACTTTCCAGGACCCGGGAAGCCCAGTGGAGGGTAGCGCAGTAGGGTGGTTCATAAAAAACTTTTTTTTAAAAAAATATGCCTGCTCCAAAGGTCTTATCTTACTAAACTAGGGATTATATAGCTATATCTGAAATTTCTTGCATATCAGTTAATATCTTGACCCTGCTCCACTGAATTGAAATTTCAGCCTTCACGACATAGGAAAACGGCCAAGTAAACAGCTATTTTCGTGGAGGAGGGTCAAGATATTAACTGATATGCATGAAACTTCATATATAGCTATTTCATCCCTAGTGTAGTGAGATAAGACCTTCGGAGCAGGCATTTTCAAAAAGAAAGTTTTTTATGAACCACCCTAGTAGGGCAGTAATTGTTCCTTGATAATTTGTCACCCACCTCCATGATGGCACCGGGGGCACCCTGCCCCCCACCCCCTGTTTCCTCCTGTCTGTTTCTAGTTCAAAGTGCTAGCGCAGGGGGTGGCTATCCTATGGCCTTCTAGATATTGCAGATTACAACTCCCATCGTCCCCATGGATGATGTTGGCAGGGGCTGATGGGAGTTGAGTCCAGCCACACCCAAGTGCCAGAAGTAAGCCATCTCTATGCTGGTGCCTTCCTTTTAGGTCCTTTACAGCTTAGGGCGTTTGCCCACATGTATTTGCCTGTTTAAGTACCGCCTCATTCTGAAGTTAAAACAGTTGGCAAAGGGATTTGGGGCTGCAAACCTCCCCCTCTTTCCAGGGAGGATCAGGTGGTGCCATTTTAGTTATTTCAATCTTTTTTAAACATATTATCATTTATTGTCTTTCTTTAGAGATACATATCTTTCCAAGTTGGCTTACAAATAATGCCATTAAAATAAAAATATAATTCAGACAATATTAAACATCAGTACATGAGAAGCTTCTCACTTTATACTATTTCCCCCCCTTTTCCTTGCCTCTTGCAAATAGGATACAGATGACAGTCCACCCTGGAGTGAGAGGGTTGCTTGGGCTACCTGCATGGTTCTGGAAACATTTGGTTCAAGTGATATTATCCAAACAAATGGATTTCTGGAGACAGTCAGAAGTGCTTGTGTGTTGAATCAAGTGTCTTCCACCAACTGGCAGAATCTGAGATAAGTAAGGAACAGAATGCTCAACCTATGATCTTTTTCTGGCCAACAAAATCAAAGCAAAATAGAATTTTCTTAGCTACAAACAAGCTTTTCCTTGTTCACATCAGACAGGGGGGGAACAGACATTATCCAACAATCAACCAACAGCAGGAGACATGAAGGAAAGGAGCTCAGTTTAAAGGGAAAGGGAATTCTCTGTTGTAAATTGTAAAAATCACAGTGGCCTGAAAGTTGATGTCTTACAGTGTGGAAAATATATCTTCCCTCATTTGGTTCCCCACTGTTTCTCTGACCTTTCCATATTAGAGTGGTAGCAGGAGGCAAAAAGGAGGTTGTTTTATTCCTCGTAAGACACTTAGCTGCTAAACACTGAGAATGTGCAAAGTCACACTCACTCAATGGGTTCCTCGAGATTCCATTGCTGGAAATTGTTTCTGCACAGATAATTGATAACATAAAAGAAAGAAGCACTGCATTAACCAAAGGATGATTAGAAGCATGAATGTTCATCTTGGATTAATACTGCAGTTCTGGATTTTTTTATGAGGTTAAGGGCCGGTTCACCTATGAATGTCAAAGCATTGGTCCATGTAGTATTGGCAGTCTTATATGCCACCCACACACACCGACCCACACCCCAGCTTGGGTACCTGACATCTATTTAACTGGAGATCCCAGGGATTGAATCTGACACCTTTGACATGCAAACCATGTGCTCTACTACTGAGCAATGTGTGAATGTGTCATCATAGTTCTAATGCCTTCCAATCAGCCAATTGAGTTCAAATAGAACATTCAAGTCATCCAATGGCACTCAAGTGCAATATATGGCATTGGAGGGAAAAACCATGAAACTCAACTCCTGCTGCTACCAGGGGCGGAGGAAGGGGGGTGGTAGGGGCAGTTCGCCCCGGGTGTCATCACTGAGGGGGTGACATTCAGTGCACCACCCGCCCGTGACTCCCAAGCCTACCCTGAGCCATCGAGGGAAGGGGAGGAGCTGCGCCACCTTGTCGGCGGCCTTCCCCCCTGCCCCCTTTGTTTTGACAGCTCCACCCCCCATGGGCAGCTCACTCTGCCCCCCATGGGCGTCTCGCCCCCTGGGATGCTAGCCCCGCCCCATGGCCCCACCCCCATGGCCCTGCCCCCAGGTGCACAGCATGTCCACTGCTCCACCTCTGGCTGCTACACCAACTTCATGTGGTAATTAAATGGGTAACTAATTGGTATGAATGGGAGACACAAGTAGGAGTCTCATTCACAACCCATTGTTACTATTTGTTAATTTAGAGCAAAATAAAATTAAACCGAATGTACATTTTTAGGTTCAATTTTTCACTTTGTTCCAAAATAAACATACATCCCTAATGTGAGCTCCATTCTGAAATGATCTCAAAATGTGACACTGAAGTAGAAAGTTGACTTTTTCTTTCACTTCTCTTTCCTTCTGTATTGTATAAACATTCTGTGGTATATTTTATTCAGCACTACTGAAGCTCTTGATGTGTTTCCGTATCAGTGCATCCTCAAATTAGACTTCAAGGTTAAGCAACCCAAATATGTACATAGGACTGTGAAGCAGATCAAAAAATAATAAGGAAGAAATAGATTTTCAAAAATTTTAATTTTACTTATTGATTTTGCTGACAGAAAAATCAATACAGTAGAAGTATACAGACTTTGAAGTTTGATAATATATTCTCAATACAATAAAGAGGTCAAAACTTCTACCGTATCATAGATTCCACCACCTGAGAATGATTAACATAAGTGGACAGACCACCAGCTTTTTTAAAAAAATAGCAAAGAACATGTGTGACTTAATACAAAAGGAAAAAAAATGCATATCAATCAATCAGGTACAATCAAGTCAAAGTTAAGAACATTTAAGTTTCACAGCTTTCAGTGGGAAAGTTAAGTGCATGTTTTTAATTATTCCCACTGAAATCAAGAGGACTTAAAAGTCCTTAACTTTGGCAAGATGGTTTCTCCAAAAGAGTGATCTTTTACACTGGGTTTTGAGTATCAGAAAAGGCATATTGTGAAGTCAAGTAATTGTATACATATACAATTTTTTAAAAAATGAATGCAATGTAATAACCTCATATAAATATATCAGATATAAACCAGCAATCTGAATAAGGTAAATTTATGACTTATGGGTAACCAACGAGTAAAGGCCAGGAAATAAAACCCCCAAAACGGTAGTTAATACTTTAAAATACCTCTGCTTCTCCCATGGATGATGGAAATGTTTGATTTGAATGAGACAATTAGAATACAGGATAATCAGCCTCCCCCCCCCCCCATCATCTCACAAACCAATAGTTCTAACTTTCATATATGTTCAAATATAATCTTTAATCTTTTGGCTACAAAATATATATATATAGTCTTTGAATTTTTATGACATATTAAGCTTAACAAGGACCAGGAATGCAAAGAGAGTGCCCACATCATGCATATCCCCTTTTAATTAAACCGAAACCCTCTCCTTTTGCAATTGGGGAAAGGCTTTTTTTATTATTCAATAGCTATAACCTTCCTAACTTCATAAATAAGTCATGACTTCTCAGTCACACATTTTTAAATACATATATTTTGGCAGACAAATACTTGATTTTCCATTTTACTGACAGGGAAATTAACAGGGTTATTGTTTTGTCTTTTCTCCCCCCATACATTGCCTTTGAATATCTTCCTCAGCAAACCCAGAGGGTCCAATCCATACTTTCTCAACCAACGTTTCTAAATGACGGGCTTTATTCTGATTTCTCAGAATCTGTTCTGAGGTATAGACACCATTTTCTTTGTTGATCTAGCACATGCTTGAGGAATTTTTTTGTTTACCTACGTAGCACAGCTGTTTCTTACTTTCACACATTTCAAACTCACCTCCATCCTCCCCAGTTACTAACTAAAGCACTAATTGTATGAGATTCTTTGACAGCATTCCAGTCTTCTTGGAGGCAGAATGAAGGGGGAGAGATGCCTCGCTCTCCAATTCATAGTTCTACATAAGATGGCATGGGATGCAGTTTGTCCACGGCTGGTCACTCCATCTTACAAAAACCTTTCTCACATCCCTTTGGAGCTCTTGAATCTTGAATGTTCTTCCCAAAACACCACAATCCCAAGAGGTAATTTATTTTATCATTTGCACATATATATTTTATTATTATTATTTTAAAAAATAAGAATGAATCAGAAGTCAGTTTAAAAAATAATGAGTTTTTTGCTTTAAATGTCTTTTGAGCTCTGCAGCGACCCCACCTCTTGGGAATCGAATTTAGGGTGATATTGTCGAACAGGGGTCATGTGTCTTTTTTATGATCCAACATACACTAAGAGTTGGAGCTCCATTCATAAATATTTCACTTACGAGCACATACATTCATTTTACACGATTCCTCAATGTGGCCAGGGGATTGCGTAGTCTGCACTGTATCCACCTATAAAAAATACAAAAATATATGTCTGCTTACCGGGATGTGAGCAGGGTTTAGCTAACCTATTCCTACCACAATGGATTTCACTTCTTAGGAGAGATTCACATCTCCACCCCCTTAAATCCAATCATTAGATTCCATTAGATTTAGATTGTACATAGCCATAACATTGCATGGAATTCTTCTTGAGGATGCCACTTTAAAACAGGAAACAAAATTCTGGTCCAGGTTTATTTAATTTAAAACGTACTAAGTTTTGTCTCTCTTTTTTTCTTGGGCTGTTTTAACATTACTTGGGTTTCGTCTGATTTTTTTTCTCCAGCTAGTCCTTAAAAATGTAGCATTTTTGTCCTGAAAGGGGGAAAAAATCATGTTGCAGTAGATTACTAAATTATTAGTTGTCTAAGTAAGTGAGATCTAGCATGGGAATAAAGAGGCCAAATGAAATTCATCGTATCAATGCATTTTATGGTAGAACTAGACACTACGGATGATGTAAGGCAAAGCCAAGAACCCATATGTTGTTCCTGCCAAATCAAAATGTGAAATATGAAAGACTTGTGTTGCAGTGCTCTCCCACCCTCCCAGGAAGTGTTCAACAACTGAAGTGTTTGGGTGCCTAAAAAACCTGCACTGCAATTATATCGAATTTGCTTTACTCGCTGTTCCAGAGGCTACAGTCTTATACATGCTAAGCTATAAATCCCATTGAATTCAATGGGTTTTGCTTCTGAGTAGACATGTATAGCCTTGGTACTGTGGGAAGGGTGTGGAAGAGGAGACATGAGGCAGCTGCTTTCAGCCTCTGCATGTGTCCTCTGTAGCACCGGCTTCCATTCTCAACATCTGGCCTGTGGCTGGCTCCAGTCCACAATGTGAGTGCTCACTCCGAGTCTCTACTTACATCCCAGGAGTGGCAAGTTGCTTTGGGTTTTGAAATCCGGTTGGGGGGTTGCTTCTGAAGGAGCGTCTCTACTTCCATCGTTCTGCCCGGACACTGAGGTCCAGCGCCGAGGGCCTTCTGGCAGTTCCCTCACTGTGAGAAGCCAAGTTACAGGGAACCAGGCAGAAGGCCTTCTTGGTAGTGGCATCCGCCCTGTGGAATGCCCTCCCACCAGATGTCAAAGAGAAAAATAACTACCAAACTTTTAGAAGACATCTGAAGGCATCCCTGTTTAGGGAAGCTTTTAATGTTTAATAGGTTCTTGTATTTTAGTGTTCTGTTGGAAGCCACCCAGAGTGGCTGGGGAAACCCCTGCCAGATGGGCGGGGTATAAATAATAAATTATTATTATTATTATTAGTGCCAGTGATCCCCGAGGTGAATGCATGGAGCTGCTAGAGCAGCGTTTCCCAAACTTGGGTCTCCAGCTGCTTTTGGACTACAACTCCCATCATCCCTAGCAAGACCAATGGTCAGGGATGATGGGAATTGTAGTCCAAGTTTGGGAAACACTTTGCCAGAACAAATGTGATCCGTGTGCACACAAACCTTATAATGGAATTACTGATCCCTCATAGAAAAGACACGATGAGCCAAAGCTCAGCAAAACAGAATAGAATGCTTCTAGTATACTGGCCTCTATCTGGAGATGTGCATGGTTAGCGCCAGGGATGCAGAAGGGCTTTGATTTTTTCTCTTCCTGACAGCAACTCCTCTCTTCCTGCCCACACATCCTGCATCATAATAAAATGGGTTTTATACACCAGGGAGATTCAAAAGCATTTTGCTATGTGGCATGGGGTGGGGTGCCCTTAGGGAAGCAAATATAGTCCCTACTTAAAGCATCACAGAGCTGAACAGTGAAATGCTAGATATAACTTCTCAAGAGACCAACTGACCCAGGATCGGCTGAGCAAAGGCATGCTGTAGGGTTCCGCCTTGGCACAACATATGAAACAGCCTCTTTCATGCAACAAGAGGAAGCTGGAGCAAGAAGAATATTCCCTTTAAACACCTCTAATGGTTCATTTTAAAATGTTACAAAAATACAAATGGAAAGCAAATAGAAAGTTTTGCATCCTAGTGAAAGATAATGTGTTCTTAAATACCATCCTCAATATCAAGGTCAGGTTGAAAGGAAATTGAATAGATTTTAATGTAAATTGTTATATGATCTTAATGCAAATCAGTGTAAAATAATAAACTTATTTTCAGAAGAAGAAGAGGAGGAGGAGGAGGAGGATCAGGCATTGCTGGGAGCAAATTATCAAAGGGTCCCCGTTTCAATAGTGCCACTGTTCTTGCTTTGCAAAGAATACCAACAAGGTCAGACCTCCAAAGGAATGAGAATTTTCAGTTTGCATGCCTCCCCACCCCCCTTCTAAGCTAAGGTGACCCAATGGATGTCGTTTGCCCCCAAGGCTCCCATAATACCACAGCTAAATTCTGCCCCACAACGCATATCAAGCCAAGCACCACAGCTGTCCTTGAGAAGCTGGGTCCTTGAGAGGCACCTCTCCATTATCTATTGACCTTCACGAGAACAGCAGATTGTTGTTATTTTTCCTGATCGCATGGCTTAAAATACAAAACAACAGTTCAACCCCTTGGAAACATGAACATTACAGGTTGCCTCCTGCAAGCAAGACACACGGCTGGGTTTTGTTACAGAGTTTCCGAATGTGTATTTTACTAATTGCTAGCACTTGTTCTGTGCAAATGGCTGCAACTCCCAGGTTGTCCACAATCATGCCGTAGAGTTCTCTAATCCTTAAAATATCCACACAATTTACTCCCATCCCAAGAGAAACTGTAAAGCAGCTCACTTATCTACACTAAGATGGGCTTTATGCCCACTTAAGTGCCATGCGCTCCCCAAAGAATCCTGTGAATTGGAGCTAGGTGAAGTGCGGGGACTCCTCAGTTGGATACACTCCCAGCCTCTTCACAGAGCAGCAGTTCTCAGGAAATAACTATGGGCTTCTCCAGACAACCTTGTTTATTGAACATCCATCATGATTTGCTTCCACAAAGCTTGTGCAGTGGTTAGATGATGCCCAGTCATACTGATTATTCATTCTGATTTGCTTGCTTAGAGGCTAAACAACAATGAAAATTCATTCTGATTTGCTTGTATGGTGTTTATATGTCTTCCCATTAATCATTCATGCATCCCACATTCTTTGATGCATTTCCCTGTCACTTTCCTAACTGCAGAAACAACAACTGGATTCTATCCCCCCCCCATTGGTTCAATGTTAATTCATTGTAACTGTGCATGCCTAAATTTCCAGTATGTGCTTGAATCCCTCCTGAAAAATACTGACAGTCTGGGAAGCGACCTATGAATTAAGTTAAAAGGGTATTTAAGGTGTAAATAATCCCTAAGAAGAAGCAACCTGTATGATAGTATATATGAGTGAGAGAGAGATGGGGGGGGGAGAGAGATCATCATCAATAAAAGTTTTCCAAATGTCTTCAATAAACTGTCCAAATGTCCTCAAATAAGTCGTGTCTGTTCCCTAATCGAAATGCAATGTTCTCAGAGGAAAGCCATCTGGAAGCCTACACACTGTGCTACTTTAGTTGTGGAACACAGCCACTCTGCCAGATGCTACTAAGGGTTCTGAGGGAGGGTCTTGGCTGCACCAAGTCGCATGCTATTTTTGAAACTAGGGGCTCAGTTTTACTGCATTTGTCTCCATGAATTTGCAAACAACAACAACAAAAACAGGTTGCACAGATGTACAGTTTGCACACGCGTACAAGGTTTGTTGCATGCAGAGTAGTCAGGGGGCGGGGCATTCTGCTGCCATCTCACTTCCTTGTGCATTGATTACACCCTGCGTCAAGTCATCTGAGATTTGCTCTACCCACACACCCCATCCGGTAACATAATCATAGCCTATTTCACATGTTTTATCAAACCTGGAGGAGGGAAGCGAGATGGCAGGCATGAACCTATTCCTGATACTTTCTTCCTTTCCCTGCATTCAACTGACCACACAGAAGAACCTGTGCAGATAGCTCTTTATGTGTAGGGGGTCTTTCTTCTTCGCTTTCCCATAATTTCCAACCTTGAGGAGAGAGAGCCATGCCTACCAGGTCCTGTTCTGGCAAGCAATTGAATGCATGGGGAGCAGGATGACAGATCAGATTCCATCCCCACAGTACACATTCACACTAATGCACAAACAAGATTGTGTGTCTCCTCTAGAAAATAAAATATTAAGAGTGCCTACAAAAATAGGAATTTCCACCCCAAACAAACTACAAACATATATGTGCTTGAGATCACAGCACCATAGCTGATGAGAAAAGATACATACAACCTGATCCTATGGCTTCTTGCTTGAACATAAGCATCGCATTGCTTGTATGAAGTCTCTGTGAAATGATGTTCAGGTGCACAGAGTATCTGCCTGTTACTGTGTGAGTAAGGCATAATGAGAGGAGAAGCACAGCAGCTGAGACCATGATTTGCATGTAGGCTGGTGGTTCAGTTCCTAAAGTTTCTAGTTAAAACTGTCAGACCAAATGAAACTTTCCCTAAAGAGGAATAGGAGTAGAATCCAATGGTGGTTCCTAGCACAGATGGGTACCTCAGGCATCAACAGCCCCTGAAGCACAGCCAGAAAATGTTCTCCAAGATGAGATCCTTCTTGAGTGGAGCAGGGCTCCACTTCTAGGGTCCTCAGTGCCTTGTCAGAATGCCATTAGAGCTCTGGACCATCCCACAACACCCCCAGGTCCTCAGGAGCAACAGTGACCAGGGGTTGGGTTGAAGCTCACATCTAGCAACACGGTGCTCTTTAAGCAGTTCAAGGCCTCCCATGAATTATGGCCTACCCAGAATAAGAAGGTAACTCCCAGAGGTGCTCCAGAGCTGGGTCATGTAAGAGGAAAGGGCCATCAAGGGACTCAATAAAGTCCACCTGTCTCTACCTATGCAGTGCAGGTACAACCACTCCATAAGGTTGTCCCTTATGGATACAGACCAAACTCTCTTGAAAGTCCTGACCCTAGGTCTAAGACAATGTGCTGGTACTTTTTGCAAATTCCTCCACATCTAACGGTGGTGGAAATGGACAGCAGTAGGGCTTTGCCTTGATTTGAAGCTGTGAAGAGTTTCAGGAATAGACCTCAGTAGGCTAGATTTCTGTAATGCATCTGAAGGTGTTTCATAAGTTCATGTGTTCAGCAACAAGAATAGATCAATCTGTTTGCCCACTTGTGGTGTTAAGCATCATTTGGTTATATCAAAGGCAATAAACCTGAGCAACGTGCATATTTTTTAACATTCTCAAGAGAACTGGAAAGCCATAAAATAAATGAGCTAGACTCCTCCACAAAGAGGGTTTCTTGTTAACGGGCAACAGATGGATTTTATTACAACCATGATGTTCAGTTGGAAAATCATCCAATTATAATTTAGCATGAGATTAAAAAGGGGAACTTTGAAGGGCTTATTAGAAATCTACTAGCCAAATGCTAAATTGAGGGCAGACAGTGTCCAAGGAAGAAACAAACCCATGAATAAGGCAAAGATGGACCCAAACTGAAACCAGGAACCAACAGCCATCGATAAATGTGAATCAACTTTGATTAAAATAAATGACTTTTGAAAATAAGCAAGTTCAGCTGGCTTATAGGAACTTTTGTCAGCAAAGTCATCAACAAATTTTGATTCTCTAGGGGCAAGAAAAAAAAAACCAGATACAAAATATTGCCATACAGTTTTGGCATAAATAATATCTCTAACGCTCAGGAAGATACGAAACAGTACACAACTCCCTCCTCACACTGGCAGAAAAGAAGTTAATGTTTGTGGACTTTCAACGGCATGATCAAATTCAAAAATTCTATTGTTCATATAGACTGCTTCTGCACAGCTGTTGTGCCAAAAATCTTCTCTACCACATCAGTAATCAATGACTAAATGCACTTTTCTGTGTTAGGCTTCAGGCACAGAACTCATGGAAAGCTGCGCTGGTGCCTGACCTGTTGCCCTTACTAAGTCTCTGAACAAGCTGACAGCTGGGTTTACATCTACCATCTTGAAAGCATGCTTCATGCACCCAAATGCATATGTTTAATCAACTAAACATTATTTAATCTGTTGACAGTCCATCCTGTGACCCAGTGCTTTTCAACAGTCAATTCATATACTCATCAAGTTTTGAGTAACCAGGTGCTATGTATGTGTGTATGAACCAGCCATAAAGGTTTCAAAGCAAATACTTTAATTAATACAACAATCAGCTGCAAGGTAATGGTGGTATAATGATTGAATGTTAATTAATCTAGGCTGAAGCTATGCTGGAAAGCAAAGGATTACTTCGCCATGTAGTAATGATAGATGCCCTTGTATGTAGTCAATGAACAATTGATGACTATGTCATTGACTTTTTTGTTCATTCAGGTTATTAAAAATGCTCAAAATTTTGACTGCAGAATGATGACACAATGCATATAAAAGTGTGTGTGTGTGTGTGTGTGAGAGAGAGAGAGAGAGAGAGAGAGAGAGAGAGAGCATTACACCATGCTAAAACTCTTGCAGTCAGCAAAAAGTAAGGAAAGGGAGGGAAAGAATCAATATTTGCAGGAACAGCAGATCTCTTAGGCCCAGACATTCAACATGGGAACAGACTTAAAGAACACATTCCTAAGGGGAAACAGTTCAGTAGGGTGTCTTCTCAATCCTACTAAATTAGATGGAAATGACTATAGCAAATCCAGGCTTTCAAGTCTGACCTTGTGAAGAGAGAAGACCACAATCTATACAACAACTGAATATTTATACCAGGGATGGAGACCCAGTAGCATTCCAGATGTTGTTGGACTTCAGATCCCATCATTCTTGGCCACTGACCATGCTGGCAGGGGATAGTGAAACAGCATCTGGCGGGCCAAAGGCTCCGCCTGCCTCCAGCAGATTTTATATCACATGATATTTGGCAATACATTTCCATAAATACTTTTGCAGTTAGATCATAAACTTTGCAAACAAGAGATTTTGTTTAATGATGAATCAGTGAGTTGGTTAGGCACTCTTGAGCTATAAGCATATGGGCTCTGAGGCACAGGTGTGTAAGGGTGGAGGGAAAGAATCTGCCCTTCTCTGTCGTTATGGTGGCCATAGCAGAACTCCATATATATATAAATCTGATGCCCTGGCATTCAGCACAGTTATTTCACAGGTGCAGTGAGCTCTTGTTTCAAGCTAAACAATGCCTTTGTGTCTATTTAAGAATGCTTCACAGCTTGGCCTATGTGGAAGGTGGAACATGTTCTGAACCACATTTCCTCCCTCAAGTCTAAACCTATGTGCTTGTTTTTAATTCTGGAATGCATCTGTCTCGAATGTTACCTTCCTGTGTGGGTAGCAGTGCTTTGATCTCATCCATGCTCTCCGGACCTTCCACATTACTTAATGCAGATAATATGACAAACATTTTAAGGGCATTTTCTGTATGCTGTGAAACAGGATTGCTGCTTGTGTTTTGATGTGCTTTTCCACTGCTTCGGATTATGCCAGGAACAGCTCGAATTTTAGTCCGCCAGTTTTGCATTCAAAGAGAAGAGTGGCTAGAGGTCAGGAATTGTCCATGGGGAGGGGAGATTTCCATGCACCATACCCATCTTCTCTGGACATACTTAGGAGTCATACCTTGACACCATATAATGCCAAGTCAGTTTTTCCAAGGGCCTCCTAAAATACACCCAACCTCTCTAAAATCCTTCATACAGAGTGTCCATAAAGTCATGCATAAGCAAGAAAAGTAATACAGGAGTACAGTGGTACCTCAGGTTACATACGCTTCAGGTTACATACACTTCAGGTTACAGACTCCGCTAACCCAGAAATAGTGCTTCAGGTTAAGAACTTTGCTTCAGGATGAGAACAGAAATTGTGCTTCGGCGGCACAGCGGCAGCAGGAGGCCCCATTAGCTAAAGTGGTGCTTCAGGTTAAGAACAGTTTCAGGTTAAGAACAGACCTCCGGAACGAATTAAGTACTTAACCCGAGGTACCACTGTATTACTAGTCCCTACATTCTAAAATCCTCCTCTCCAGCCCATTCTCAGAAAAAACCAAAAACACAAACAGATGCAGCTGCATTGAGGAAGCAACGTATCAGCTTCTTTGTCTCATCCTTGAAAGGTGAGATTTCATACAAGCAAGCCAGGCCTGATCAAAGTTCCTGTGCCACCTTATGCACCGTTTCTTCCATGGAGTAGCTTCACATGGAGAATTATTAGGATGCATGAACCAGCCCATTTTAGCACTATTATTTACAGTTCAAGGTCACAAACTTAGACTGCTACGCTGCAGGTTCTTAATGGCATTGCTAGACACAATGCTGAGCATTTATATGGTACGTTTCAAGTGCTCAGTGTTCAAGTGTTCAGCTTATAAAGTACATGTTTACAATAACCACTCTTTATGGAAGCCTAAAATTATTTTTCCTTATTATCTTTCATATTACTGGGTGGGAGGAGAAAGTTGATGAAGGGAGCAGCTTGCTTAAGGCAATTCAAAGAGTTTACAAGGAAACTGGATTTGAACTGGCAACTTTCACCAATATTACACTAGCTCTTAATGCTGCTCTGAATTTTGTGGGACTTCTTACAGGTTCAATATGCTTACGATCACATACTACAGTAGTAGAGCGCACACATCTCATGTTTCCAACTAGTTCTGTTTCATTTATTGCTAGCTCTGTAGCTAGTTAGCTATTTATTTAATGACATTTCTGCATCTGTTGCTTTCTTTACAACCTTCAGTGCTCAAAGTTACGGTTGTATATGCAAAAAACATATCAAAGACAGAAGGAAAGAATTAAAAACATTTTTTTAAAATTAATTAATTTTTTAAAAGTATATCAATAAAGCAACATAAAACTGATCATGATAATTAGCTGTCACTTTTGTGAACATATTTTTTTTTAAGGCTGCAATGCCATATGCACCTATATGGGAGAAAGTGTCATTGTCCTAAACAAGGCCTACTTTTGAGTAAACACACATAGTATTGCACTGTTAAGCTGGCAAGGAAAGGTAAATGCCAGAAGAGAGAGAGAGCAGATGGAAAGCTGCCACAACTAAAATGGCACGCCTCTGTGGTTCATGGTTTGAGTGGGTGCTGATAGCACCAAGCTTGCAGGTTTTATCACTTTATGGGACAGCCACATATTCCTGCATTGCAGGGGGTTGGACTAGATGATCCTCAGGGTCCCTTGCCACTCTACAAGTCAATGATTCAACAATTCAATGTCACAGCGAAAGAACAAACACACAGCAAGGTGTCTCTAAAAGATCTCAGCACATGGTGAGGTATATTTTGAAGAGAACATCCCATATGGTCTAGAGAACCAATCATCTTTCTATTTAAGGAAATTTATATCTCATACTTTCACTAGTGGTTAGATGACCTAGGCTGAGGAACCTCGGGCCCAGGGGCCAAGCCTCTCTGTTTTGTCTTCAGAGCTCTCTTCAGTCTAGAAGTTCCTCCTCAGCCATCCACCCTCTCTATAGGCTATGCCCCTCACTGGCTTTGTTTCACACACACCTTGAATGCCTTTGCCTGCCTAGAATATATATATATAATTGAACTCAGATAATGACTACTGGTTGCCAAGATTGAGGATAGTGGGTGGTGAGTGTGCATAGAAACTGGCCTACTTTACATATCTCCAGCCACTTTGCCCCTGGCCCTACCCACAATTGGTTGGTTTTGACCTGTAAGTGCTGGTTTTGACCTATAAAGCCTTAAATGGCTCAGAGCTGCAATACCTGAAGGACCACCTCTCCCCATATAAACTGTCCTGTCCTGCGTTTATCACCTGGGGCCCTTTTTCATGTGCCTTATGACGTCTGGAGGGCACCAACAAAAGAATGGGCCTCTTCTGCAGTGGCTCCCCATTTGTGGAATGCTCTCCTCAGGGATGCGGGTGGCGCTGTGGGTTAAACCACAGAGCCTAGGCCTTGCCGATCAGAAGGTTGGCGGTTCAAATCCCTGCGACGGGGTGAGCTCCCGTTGCTCGGTCCCTGCTCCTGCCAACCTAACAGTTCGAAAGCATGTCAAAGTGCATGTAGATAAATAGGTACCGCTCCGGCGGGAAGGTAAATGACGTTTCTGTGCGCTGCTCTGGTTCTCCAGAAGCCGCTTAGTCATGACCCGGAAGCTATACGCCAGCTCCCTTGGCCAGTAAAGCGAGATGAGTGCTGCAATCCCAGAGTCGGCCACGACTGGACCTATTGGTCAGGGGTCCCTTTACCTCCTCAGGGAGGTTCACTTTGTGCCTTCATTATATATATATATATATATATATATATATATATATATATATATATACTAGGCACCAGGTGGAAATATTCCTTTTCAACCACACCTTTGACTGATTAATATTCCACAGCATTTTAAATGTGTCTGTGGGAAGGGGATTATTGCTTTGTTGTTTGGTTTTACTTACTTACTTGTTTTTATCCTTCATTTTATTCTGTGAACCACTGTAAGAGATATTATGATGTAGGGCAATATATCAATCAATCAATCAATCAATCAACATGGCTCCTAGAATGTTGCCCAGAAGGTATTGTGGGTCTCAGTCTGGAAAGCGTCCTCCATGCTTGACAGAGGCCTCTGAGGTGAGCACCAACACTACGAAATAGGCCTACCGCTCAACTGGTAGCCAGTGCAGCTGGCCCAAACATTGAAGCCGTATGCTACGTCCTCCCAGTTTCTCTTTAGGGGATGCTACATTCTGTCAAAGCTGCAGCTTCCAAACTGTCTTCAAGGCACAGCCCAACAGAGGACTGTGCTGCAAGCATTCTCTGGATTGCTTGGAAATGAAACTTTGCCACCATATCCCAAAGGAAAATGAGGTGCTGGAGGCAAGCACAACTACATTTGCTCCATACTAATGAGAAGCTGGAAGTCCACAGTAAGCCGCAATGTCCTTAAATGCCATTGCAGCCAGCATCACCCACAATGCTCCCTTTAAAAGCATGCTAGCTAGCTATTTTCTGTGCTCGGAAAACATTCCCGGCTGCTTTTCTGCTATGATCTGGAACTCTAAATGTTTCCTTAAAATGACAGTGATTTATACAAAGCCGTCACCTAGCCCCCACTGAAGTGAAAACAAGAAAGCTGATGTTACAGGCCAAGATTGCCAAATGGAAAGTGACACAAATGTATATATTTTTTGAAATGCAATTGCATAAAGAAGTGCTGTGTCAATTTTCTTACCTATTTTATCAAGGAGCCTAAGTGGCTAACTTATAACCAGCCCGGAATTGTATCTGCCACTGTAATTTGTTGCTATGTAAGGTCTTCATTGCACACACTCAAGGTCACAGGAGATTGCCAGGGAAGTGATTTTTCAGAGAAGTGCATTATTCATGGAACTAAATGATTTGTAAATGTATTTAAAAACACGCTAGGAAGCAGCAGCAGAAAGAATGCATTTATTGCTTCCAGACCCTGTAAAGTATTACCTACCACCTCATGGGCATAGAATTTTTTTTCCTGATGGGTGCTTATCTCACTCGTATCATATTCTATTCACTTGGATGGGGCATGCTGAAATTGTTAAAGTCCAAACATCCTCTGATTCCTAATCTAAAAGCAACACTTATCATCTATTGATTGGGTATGGAGAGCTCTGAGAGATTCTGAGGGTCTTTTATAGGACATACTTTTGAATGCCACCTAAACCTAGACACACCCCATCCACAGTTGTTGTTTTTAGAAGGAACCTGGAAATCATCATCTAAGCACGCCCTATTCTTTTGTAAACCTTTGTAATCAGAGAGTGAAGCTGGTCTAGGAACCCCTGAGCTCAACCAGTGTCCTCCACAATTCTCTGTTCCTGAGCTTCCTCTGTACAATTGCCCTTAGCTTCACTGGCAGAGACTTGGCCTAATTATGTGTTTGGCACTCCTGGCTACATGCCCATTCTTGTACCGCAGAGAAACTGGAACTTCAGGAGATTCCAGACAAGGGTATTGCTGTGATAAAAGAGGACTGACTTAGCCTGGCTCCTCAGCTTTGAGTGCTTATTTTCTACACTCCCACTTTCAGAGAGAGGCACCTGGTAAAAAAAAATCTTGCCTCTGTGCTTGGACAGGTCCTAAGGAAGAAAAGGTGTCTCCCTCTAGATTTGAAATCCCTCTAGAGTTGAATTCCCACTGCAATATTTGATTGCTGTGTAATACCCCTTTGTGGCCATGGCTCGAGCCCTCCAGAAGTGGTTGGGTGACAATTCCCATAATTCCTCACTACTGGTCATGCTGGTGGGGATTTATGGGAGTTGGAGTCAAGCAATATCTTGAGAGCACCAAGTTGGCAGTGCAGCACACCATACAATCCAGTTGGTGACTATTATGTGTAGAACATGGAAAACAGTGGTTTGGGTGAATGAAGGATTTCCTCCCCCCCCCCCCTATTTTTATAGAATCCAGTGGAGCAGTTGTACTCCATTAAGGCGGACAAGGGAAATGACTTGTGGGAGACCGTAGAATAAGAGTAGCACAGAATATATTATTTAAAGAATAAAGATGTACAATTTTAGTGGTGGCTTTTTCCCCCCCTTGGAAGGAAAAGTATGCTGAAGTTTCTTCCACACATTTTCAGGTCTTTAATCAAAGAGAAATGCAACGGCCCCTAACAAGGGGGGGAAGAAACTTATTTGATATTCCTTTGTCTTATAAATATAGCGTGATGTACTGGTTTAATTAAACTCTGCTGAATTATCATATGAATTTTATGTGCAGGCAAATAATTGCCTTTTTATTCTCTACAAACATTTTGTTTATGGAAATGGATTTTATGATCCTTAATGTGAGATTTAAAAAAGAAAGGAAAAGAGAAGTCTTAATTATTTTAACTTTGGATACCTAGAATTACTTTTAAATTAATTCTAAGAATGATTACAGAAATGCCATGTTTTCAACAGACATTGTTCACTCTGAAATGATGGCACTGGGCCAAACTGTGCATAGTGCTTTAATTGCATGCCTATAAATGTCAATTTATTTTAAATGTTGAAATACACCGAGGCAGGGAAAATATATGGATGTAGTTACGGGATCCTTGCTTATTTTAGAGTCAAAATCACAAGGGAGCTTGATACAATACAGAACACAATCCATCCCCTACTGAAGTCAGTGGCACAAGTCCTAGAGCATTTTAATAAAAGGGTTTCTCAGTCCAATTGATTTCATTTAAGTGTCATTTCATGTAAGTGTCATTGTGTGTAGGACCACAGCTTTCAAATCATCACCACATCTCATACTGTTATCAATTCTCAATTAAGAATGTTCAACTGGGTCAAAAACCATTGGTGAGGACCACTACAAATGTTGAGTGAGTGCACCTATGAAGAAGTCCTAACATTTGTCAAGAGCATGCCACTTTGTTGGGGATGATAATGCACCACTAACTGGCAGTCCTTCCCACTGTTGTTTAGTCTTTTAGTCATGTCCGACTCTTTGTGACCCCATAGACCAGAGCACGCCAGGCACTCCTGTCTTCCACTGCCTCCCATAGTTTGGTCAAACTCATGTTAGTAGCTTCGAGAACACTGTCCAACCATCTCATCCTCTGTCGTCCCCTTCTCCTTGTGCTTCCCATACTTTCTCCCAAACAACCTGAATATATGTCAGTGCCCCAAGGGAAAGCAAAAGACAATCCCGTGCCAGCGAGGTCATGTAAATAGCAACTATAGACACAAACCTAAGAGAACACGGCTATTCTATATTTTGTGTTGTGTGTTTGCTTTTAGCATTTTAAAATTGTAAACTAGCAGAGAGGCAGCATGCAAACCAGGGATGGGAAACTTCTGGCTCAGAGGCCAAATGCAGTCTTCCAGGCTGCTGTATCTGGCCCTCAGGACTTTCTCTTCCCCCAAGCCACATCCATCACACGTCCTCTTTTAACCCTCCTTGGGTGTTTTTGCTTGCCTGCAAAGTGGTTTTGAACTCTGGTGAAGCTTCTTGCTTCCATTGATGGAGGATATAGGAGGGATATGCGAACATGTGTAGAAACTTGTGTACTGCACAAAAGTAAAATTCGCATCCATTGCTCTTCCCACTTCTGTTTCCGGCCCCACTCACCCACCACTGCCCCTGGTCCTCAGGCTGAAAAAGATTACCCATCCCTGATGTGAACTAACAAATGTTGGCCTAGAAGACATCTGAAGGCAGCCCTGTTTAGGGAAGTTGCTTATGTTTGAAGTTTTATTCTGTTTAGTATTTTGTTGGGAGTCACCCAGAGTGGCTGGGGAAACCCAGCCAGATGGGTGGGCTATTATTATTATTATTATTATTATTATTATTATTATTGCAGCCTGGCCTCTGCTAATGAGCACTATTGTGTAATCATGTCCACTGTTTTCAAATGGTGGCAGAAAGAAACCTGTGGGCAAAAGGTCCTGAGTGTTCAATCTACACTGCGGACTTATCCAGGTCAGTTAAACAAGGGATGGGGAACATGTGTCTCTCCATATATTCCTGGGCCATTGAGCATCCCTGAATTAATCTAGGAGCAGCTCACTAGGTGGGATGGAGCTGCCAGCTTCCTTGCAGGTCACTGTTGCTTACTGGGAAGGCATGGCAGCAGCAAGTGCACCAGCAGAGCCAATATGGCACTCTTGCTGGCTCATTTGTACAGCACCAACCTCCCTGCTACCTTGAGCATCACCACCTTCCAGGTAAGCAACTGCAACCCACCTGCCAGGAAGGTAGTGCAGGAGCTCCTTCCCACATGGTGAGCCACTTTTGAATTAGACTGTCATGGTTTACTCCACCTTCAGATCCTGGGAACTGTGCTTTGGGTGTTGAGATCTCTCCATTAGAAATCCACAAAGTTATACTGTCTTTCAGGTTCCCTGTGGGAGATGGGATGATTGTAAAACTAGTTTCACTTCTAATTGCAAGCACAGGCAGTGAGTACTGACAGCAATAAGGCACTGAGAAACAAGACGGAAATATGAACAGAGGGCAACTCTTGAGGTTTGAAGGAGTGTTTGGTGAATTTTTTTAACCAAGTACCCCTTCTCCAAACATGCTTAGTAGCTGAATCTGGGGTGCCTGAGAGAATGGGCACTCAGAGAACTGGAGTGTCTTCCTGTTTGAATACCTTACAGCTCATCACATTCTAGAAAACAGCATGGCTGGCTATAAGGATGCGCTGCAAATTTTATTTTTCCAGGTTCCATTTATAAGTCTGGAGTGCAGACACAGTCTAAACTTAGTATATTCTACACAGGTAGGCAGGGCATAACTATGTCCCTCAGAACTTTGTTGTGATTTGAGGCTGTGTTGAACTAGCAATTACAAAAAAGAAAAGTATATTCTTTGGTCTTCTGTCTTACAATTATTAAGTCAGCTTCATCACTGGGGCGCTGAGCAGAAAGGCTTATGCAAGGTGGTGCTTTCTTCGATGAGTGCACACATGGTTTAAATAGATGTACTTGATTCACTCAATTTGTTTTAAGCCAAAGAGTGAAAAAGAATCTTTGACAAAACTGTCATCTTTAAAACACAGTGATATTTCATCCCCTCTACACTATTTAGATTGCCTGGAACTGAAATGCTTCCAGCAACCACTGTGTCCAATTTTTCAAAACTGTCATTTTCTAGCAAATCTGCTTAAGCAAAATACTTATGCTGTTAGAAAACAGGGAGGAAAACCCTATATTATAGAAAGCATTTCTTTTTCTTCTTCTTTTTTTCATTTGTAGGTCAGGGTAGCATCCAAGCATGCAAAATGTCAGGAACATACTACAATAAATTGAAAGCTGACAAAGACAGATTGGTTCACGTCCATAAATCCTCTACACCTATGATTAGTTTGCAAAGGTATAGTTTGGCTGAAATCCAACGGGTCCCCCCACTGCTCACATAATAATCATATAATCAAGATTTTATTTTGTGTGGGAAACCATGAAACTCAGTAAGACTTGTTCAGCTGAAAAAGTAGATGGAACAAATGGTGAACAATCGTCTCCCAATTTTTTTCAGGCACACACACAAACATTAGAACAGCCTATTGGACTAAGCCAATGGCCTATCTAGTCCATCACCCTGTTCTTACAGTGGCCAATCAGATTCCTATGGGAAGTCCACAAGCAGGGACTGAATGCAGCCCCTTTTCCCTCACTCCATGCAAGATAACATATTTCAAGTGGGAAAGTAGAGGGTGAAATTAATGAAGGCTTTGAGGACTATTCACAATTGGTCCCATACATCTCTGTTAGCATGTGAGAAAATGCAGGAGGACAGTAAAATTAATTCTCCCTTAGGGCTACAAAAGGGTTTGGTGTGGACCTGTATCAAGAAGTGTAATACAGAATTTCATCTAGTCCTCTCAAGCTTATGCAGAAGAAACAAGAGAATACAGTTACCACTGTTGCTTTGAAATGCCCGTCAAGCCAGTTGCTAGTCCTGGTGCACAATTCAGATCCCAATTCTCGGTTGTCCCATTACCCCTAACTCTGTCACACCTCGGCTGTGCAAAAATCAATACACTAGAATGTCACGGCACTCTGATGGCTCACAAAAGCCTTGCTATACGTTTATTAGACAAAGATTTTATATTACTTCAGAGTCGGAGCGTATCAAGATAAAAAAAAGAAAAATCAATTCCAAGTCATTTCCTAGGCAGGAAATCGCCCTGGAAAAATAGCAAGGCTCCATTCAAGTTGGCAACCAATATAAGAACCAATACAAAGGGGGTTAAAAGTTGCTCGAATTCTTTATATGGGGGAGGGAGAGTAAGACACCCCAGATTTGCCAGTGCCTTAAATTGTCCTTTCTCTGAGCAATCAGGTTCCTAATTCTACCTTCTCACCCACCCTGAGGAGCAGCACAGTAGGACAACTTAAGATGGTTGTGGACATTCATGAGGACTGCTGTCATCCAGTGTCACTGCAATGAACACCAAAGCCCCAAATCTCTTACCCTTCAAGTTTTTTTCTCCATTCGGTAGAAAGGAGTGAAGCATGCATGTACTTTGGCTTAGTACACGAGAGGAAGCAGAGGTGCTAAAGTTGTCTAGCTCTGGAAAAGAGACTCCACACCTGGATTCTAGGCCTCTCTTCCCTTTCCCGTGAAATTCTAAGCATCCTTGCAGACAGTGCACATACACTTTTACTGCCTTTTGATTGTGCATGTCTCCACACTTGAATACAAGATAAAAATAGGGTGGCTTTGTATTTTGATCATGTCCACTTGCTCTGAGTATGTGTTGGAGTCCCATGCCAGGTGCACACCAGCTAATGGGATTCTGCCTCTATGCTGCTCAGTCTTCCTTAGAGACTTTATTCAGGTGTTCTGATTTCATGTAAAGACGGCATTGGTGGGATAAGCACACTGAGCTCCACCTCTCTGCATTGCTATGTGCGCCATTCTTCATGAGTTGGAAGGTGAAGTCTGAAGAAGGAAGCCTTCTCCACTCGAATGAGATAAATAACAGGCTGCATTAAAAAATAAGCAGTATCTTCTAACTGATTCTAAGCTGATTAAATACCTTTTCAGGCATGCTCTTCTGCAAACATTACACACAAGTGGGGAGAAGTGTGTCAATCTCCATTGCCATTTCACTATGCCTGTCGCTCTTCCAGATTCAGAGGGTGATGTTTGAAATGCGAAACATCCTCTACCTGTGAAGACTCCCCATGCGGTTTAGAAACCTGGTTTTGCAGGTTTCTGCACTGATTATTAGAAACAACAAGAAATTTGGCATGGCAAAATTAACTGGGAAGCTCAGAAATCAGGAAGAGAATAACTTTTTAAAAGAATGGGAAAAGTTTATTATTTATTTACGAGACCATTGCAAGCAGGTTAAAACATTGGCGGGATTTTAACCACACTTGTAAAGTAACAGAAAGTATGGATAATTTAAAAGTTGTATTGATATGCAGTTGTAAATATTATCATAAGGACCCATGGAAGGGATGGGGGAAGTCAGAAGATTCAGAGTAATCTCAATATTTGGATTTTGAATTGTTTTTTGTTGTATGTTTACCCTTTTTAAAATCAAATAAAAAAATAATGGGGGGGGGGGAAGAAACACCAAGAAATTAAGTCCATCTACGTCAGGATCATTCTTTTGGGAATGACAATTGGTAGACTCCCCATAGTATAATTAGTTGGGAAATACCAGAAATGTGAGGAAAAACAACTCTCATAAAGAAATTGTGCGACACATTTCCAACAAATTCAAGGCTTTTGAAAACTGGAGTATTTGACTGTAGCATAATCTTCTGTCTTTCAACCAGATCAACATACAAAAACATATAAACTGATCATCAGCATTCTCTACAGGATTTTCGTGGCCCAATCTCACCAAAAAATGCACAAAATTTTATATGTTTGTGTCATGTGCAAA